TTGAGTGGATTTAAGAGATTGTTTCCAGCCCTCTAGGAGTCGTTTTATTCTTGGATGTTCTAGGCAATGCCTACCTTAAAATTCTAACGTTCTGCATCTCCATTCCCACTTTACTACTGGTGCAGTGAATTTGAGTTCTGTGTTCTCCATTTGTTCCTGTTAAATTTCATCTGGTTAGATTTAGCTTGTTGCAGCATGTTTTTTTAAATTACTTTTCAAAATGCTTTGAGGTTTTAAGAGTTCTCAAACATAATGTATGTCTGTGGATGGATGCCAAAACAAATCCTAAAGTAATGTTAAAATGCATCGAAGAGTATAGAATCCACAACAAGGAGGTAATGGGCTCACTCCAGAAAAATCACCTGTCTCCTGAATCCTATTTGAATTTCTACTTATCTTTTAATACTCAACCTAAAAGCCAATTCTCCATGAAAACTTCTCATAATTACCCCAGTTTTAACGACTCAGTTTGTAAAACCTTTGAAACAAGAATCGAGTCTCATGCACTTTGGTATCTGCCTTAGGTCAGGTTCTCATATAACACGTTGAAGGAGTGTGCAATGATGAACCTGATGAGGAGGGAAGAAAGATAACACAGGGAGAGCAGCTCGGCAAAGCAGTGGTTTAGTTGAAGTCTTATCTCAGCCTGACCCCAGGGAAAACTCTTGAGCACGAAAAGCACCAGAGAATTATCCTTACATATAATAAATGCTCTTTATAACCCCTCATCAGTTAGTCACTGGTTGCAGGCTTCCTTAGGAGGTCAAAACCAACCCAGCGTATCTCATCAGCTGAGAACAATTCTCAGAATAAGGATGCAGCTGTAGACTTTTAGCAGCCAATGTGCAGCCGCTTGGAGATGGGCGTCTGACCAGGAAAGGGGATCTGGACAGAACAGCAGCAGTATCTGCTACAGTTTCTTTCCAGAATTAAGTATGGCACCTTACACATGTAAGACACTATAGATGCTTACTGATCTGTATTGTTTAGAAAAGTCAACCAAAAAAGCAACTTTTTTTTTGGAGAGGTAGTCTCTCTGTTGCCCAGGCTGGAGTGCAGTGGCACGATCTCAGCTCACTGCAACCTCCTCCTCCTGGGTTCAAGTGATTCTCCTACCTCACCCTCCCGAGTAGTTGGGATTACAGGCATGGGCCACCACGCCCAGCTAATTTTTTCATTTTTAGTAGAGATAGGGTTTTACCATGTTGGCCAGAATGGTCTTGATCTCTTGACCTTGTGGCTCACCTGCCTCGGCCTCCCAAAGTGCTGGGATTACAAGCATGAGCCACTGTGCCCAGCCAAAAAGCAGCTTTTCTATTCACCACATTTTTTGTTATTGGCTAGTGCTGGTTTTACTCTTATGCTTATGCAGCAAAAGGTGGCATTAATTGGATTTTTAATTTGCTATTGCAGCAATAGAAGAAATATAAAAACCACTAGGGTGTCACAAAACTCTATCCCTTAAACTATTTGCTGAAAGCAGTTCTATGGAATTTTTAGCTTTACAGTATTTGATTACATTTAATGTAGAAAGGGTAGGATTTGTATTGATCAGCTATAGAAAAAAGTGTTAAAAGAATACGGATATGAAATGGGAGCCATTGACGTAACCTCCTTTAATTTGTTTAGAGAATCCTCCAACTGAAATTCTGTTGCAAATTTTAAATAATTTTTAACAATAAGAAACACTGTGGAGTTTACAGAAAAGATGCAAGTATGATAGGAGAGATGTTTTTCCTCTCTGAGCTATTTAGGATTAAGTTATCAGCATGAAGTTCTATCACCCTGAATAGTTTAATGTCTACTTACTACAGATTAGTATCATCTGCTACATATCCACAATATCTGCATCAAAATCGGTATATTAGCATTGATACATTACTGTGACCAGCTCTTCAGAGACAGTTCGTATTGCACCCATTGTTCTGTTGGCATCTTTTATCTGTCAATAGAACACTTGGTGAAACATGAATGGAAGAATTCAGGTCAGATGGACATGTTGCCTTCAGTTGCTGTGTATCCTTAGTCTTCTTCAGTCTGGAACAGTTCTTCTGTCTTTCCTTGACTTGCCTAATCGTTACGATTTTGAAGATGACAGACGACTATACTTGACATTTCTCCCAGTTTGAGTTTTCCTGGCACTTCTTCATGGTTAGATTCAGGTGCTGCATCTATGGCAGGTTATCACGGAAGTGATGCTACGTTCTCACTGCGTTCTAGCAGGTGGGGCAATTTCGGTCTGCCTCACTTTTGAGAACATTGATTTTGATTACTTAGTCTGCCAGGTTTCTTTACTAGAAAGTTACTTTTTTCCCTTTGTAATTAAGTATTTTATAAAAGGAAGTATTTTGAGATTACGTAAATATCTGGTTCCTTATTAATCTATCTATTTAATAAATATGGGGTCATTGTTTCCTATATTATTCAATGGATCATAATCTGTTACTAACATTATTTATGTGAATGCTTAATTTCCCAAAAAGAGCCAGCAGGTGTCCCTTCAAGCTGCCTTACGTGTCTTTTTGACATGCCCTTATCATTCTTTGAACACTTCTGCTCTGCGGCAAAATAAAATGGTCTACCGTCATTTCATGCTTGTTCTGCCCCAGACCTAGAATCAGCCACTTCTGTGAAGATCCTTGGTTTCTGTTGTTATATAATGGGATTTCAAAGCCACGTTCTGTGTACCAAGCACGCTCATTGCTATTGGGAGTGTCACTGCTCCCAGATCCTCTCAATGACAGACCTGCAGAATCTCTACACACACCCACTTGCATGTCTATTTATTCTATATCTCTCTACTTATATTAAAACCTGTGAATTCATACTAATACCTCCTGCTTCAACCTAACACCACACAAACCTTCTGTTATTCTTCATTTTCATATTTTTAACTCCATTCCAGTGAGAAACTGGCACCCATTATATTTATGATATTAAAGATATTGAAATACCTGACTGGTTCCCCCATGTGTATGCATGCTGCACTGTCAATGCCACCCCGTCCTCTGCGTGGATGCCCACCTGACTCAGGTTTTACGTCCAACTTCGATCCCCTGTCGATTCCCATGGCTTTGGGATTAAATTGTTTCAGAAGGTAAAGAGAAAGGGAAACAAAAAAGAAAGAGGAGCTACAGTTGAAACTTTTATAAAGTGTTTTCCATGTTAGAACAGAAGTATTTATGAAAAGTTTAAAATTTTATACTTCAGAAGAAATTAGTTACATACACACACCGAGCTTTTATTTTGTTGCTTTCATGGCTTACAAAAAATAAATCACCTGAAATTGTACAGCTTGTACACGGATGCGGTAGAGCAGCAGCCCTGTCATGGGTGTGAACAGTGAACAAACTAGAAAGCTCGTGCTCGCCTGAAAAGAGGCAAAGAGCCAAGCCAAAATTACTGGGGCACGTTGTTGATTTGGGAGTAGACTACGGGGCCGTCTCGCTTGTCAGTCATTCTTTGAAACAAATAAATAATGAAAAAATAAATGTACAGATTTAGTTGGCCATCCAATGTGTGTTTTTACAAAATCAGAATTCTAGTAAATTCATCAATGAACGAATGGCAAAGCTGAATTAGATGAAAAGCCTGTTCTTGTAGTCTAGAAACTAAAAGCGTGTGAACAAAGGGAAAGCAAGTGTGCTATTTGGTCTCAGCTTTATAATGACTGTCACGCAAGTGTTCGTCTGTTTCTAGAGGGCACCACAGATGGTGACAGACAGGCCATAAGGTCCAGGGCACAGGGACTGGGTTCAGAGTGTAGTCATCTTGGCCATAGTTCTTCACCTCTCTAGTCTTGTTTCTTTACAGGGGTATTTGGAAGGATAAATCAAATACAAACAATATTGCCAATGTTTGAACAAATAGAGAAAGTTAATTGTACGCCCCCCACTCTGCCTTAGGCCCGTTGGTCCCGTCTCTGTTTCCAGAATATGCTTGGTGCTCCACCTGGGGAACTTTGTTACTTCCTCTGCCGGCAACGCTCCTCCATTGGACAGCCACAGGTCTTGCTCCTCCGCTCTTCACCGCTACTGTGATGCAATCACACACCTCTAACACTTCCCCTCTCCTCTTTTCCCTGCTTTACTTCTCCTCTTAGCGCTCAGCACTCTCTAACATTCTACACACGTCTTTGTCATGTCGTCTTTGGCCGTCTCCACCAGAATGCAATCCTCGGGACTGTTAAGCAAGGTTAAGGTACAGTCCCTGTGCCTTTCAGCCCCCTGCCACCGGCAGGAACACCTGGCCAGTCTGAGCAGTTCAGGATGCTGTGGCCTCCTCCCACTCACAGAGGCAGCCCTTTTGTCAGTCTTTCCACTGTTGTGCCTCCAGATCCTGAGGTCCTGCAACATGCCTGACAGCACGCCGTGGGCACTCATTTGTTGTAGGCATACATCAGTGAACAACAGAATGAACGTTCAAGGCTTCCCTTTATTGTTTTTTGTCTTTCCTCATAGGCAGGAATGTGAAAGGTGAGAGGATAAAAAGACAAATGAATAAAGAGCTTAAAGAAAGGTAATCCAAGGAAAGAAGAATGGCAGGAAGTGAAGAGAGGAAGACCTTGGCTTTGGAACATTCCGAACAAGATCAGTTCAGCTGCAACGGAAGCCACGGAGGTGTCATACCGTGTTCCCAAGACAAACCTCGCAGATGCAAAAGGCAAGCCACTTATTAAGCTTGATTCAGCCCCTGCCACTTTTTTTGGGTTATTCTGTAAGGTCAACTACATTGGTATTGGATAAGCAGTCCAGGATAATACTAGCAAAGTGAAGTGTTACATTAGAAGTGGTTGTGTATCTATTTTCTGCTTAATGAATAAACATATACCACTTGCTGAACAAATTATATATTCCTCTTTTCAGAAAACACCCATGATTTAAAATAAGTTTCACACTTGAGTTTAGGATGAACGCCTTTTGCGTTTGAAAGCAGTGAAAATGAGACTCTTTCATAGCAATAGTGCCATAGCTCATTAAAAAGAATAACAAAAAACTCAGTATCTCATGCTTATTTGTACATTAATGTATTTATTTCATATGTCTATATATGCATATATAAATAAAAATAGTGTTGTCTCATGGGATAAGTCTAGTCAGTGAATATCATTCACACATAATGGGAAGTCTTATTGAGATTGAACGGTTAAATATTTTAAAAGAAAAAAACATTTTTAAAAAGAACACACATAAGAAAGTTGGTGAGAAATGTTTAAAAAGACAGTATATATCCCTACATTTGTATCGGGAAATTCATACTGACTGAAAATGTAGCTAAGTATATCCTTACATAATCAACATTGTTTGTCAACCTAACCACCTTATAATAGCATGCAGCTAAGTCACTGCAACTCTGAGTATCAGCCAGTCTTTCATGAGCAGTACAACTATCTGTACTTTTAAATCCAGTTGTCACGGAATTGCAAACTGCCTCAGCATCATAAACTGCTGCCCTTTCCAGCACATGAACTATGCTTTGGGTTTGCTTAGAAACTCCTTGTTGAAAAACCTTCTTGCCTCAACATTACTAAGGGAAACGGAGCAACGAGACGGATTCTGTCTTCTGTATTCAATGCTTTCAACCATGGCTTCCTTTATGACCTGCAAACAGATAGAAGGTGTATCATCAGTGCTGCTATTAACTCATTTATACATTTTTAATCAAAAGTCTAATTAATCTTTTTATTAGAGTATTCTTTTTCACATATATGAATAGAAATCTATGAGTCATGCACACACATTTAAATTCAACATCCCACCACTGCTCTTGTCAAGCTCATATTCAGCTACTGTTCCTTCCCTCGCCAGGGAAATAAGTATTATGAAACTGTTCTAGATTTTGTGCTGATAAATTTGGGAATAAAATGGTAACATGGTAAAGTTACGTTGGCTCTGCCCTTTACAAAAAAATAGATACCAGGGAAGAAACAAGTAATTACTAAATCTATAACCTGTGTTCTTTATAACTAGTGGGCAAGTAGAAATGAAGACCACCAGAAAAGTAGAAGCTTGTCCTTCCCAGTGGAGGAAGAAGGCGTTGCTGGAGAACTGCCTTGCTTCCTCAACTGAACCAACACAGTTATAAAACGTGAGCCTCCTCTGTCTAGGAAACGCCACGCTCTGTGGCTTCACTGGTGGAAATGAATTACTACTTTTTATTCAGAATACATATACCCGATGTATATTCTTTACATGTACCCGTGTTAATGGTAACCAGAAGAAAATACAGAAAACTGCAGCCTCTAGGAATTGCTATTTCAATTGTCATACACTGGTTTTGGTATGAAGTTAACCAAGTTAGAATTTGAGGAAAAAAGGGAACATTCAGCATTTGGTAGACACAGTTATTGAAGAGCAATGGAAATGGGCTTTGGAAGAAGGCCTGAAGAGTAATCTGTCTCTGCTCCTGCTTCAGAACCTTGTTAAAATCAGGAAGACTCCATTCCCCACGACAGTCCTCATTTCTTCCCAATAGCCAATGAGATAAATGTTATTCCACGGTTCCCTTTATTCTGTACCTCAGGGATTGTTAAGCAACATTAAACAGTCCCTGTGCCTTTCAGTCTCCTGCCACAGACAGGAGCACTTGGCCAGTCTGAGCAGTTTAGGATGCTATGGCCTCCTCCCACTCACAACTGCTGTGCCCACTTGGCCCTGGAGATGCGTGCTCAGAGGGATTCTCCCCTTACCACGTGCAAGCTCACTGGGAAAGCATGGCTCATTGCCTGGAGGAGATCATGTTTGCACCACTTAAACATGTGATATCTAAGGGGTGCAAACATGCAATTATTTTTCTGTGACTTTATGTCACAGACGCCCAAGAAACATTTTGGAAAGAGGTAGCTATCACAGGAATGTGATTCTTTTATATGCCTTATTTTAAAACATAATATATGTAATTATCTTCTGGGGAAAATGAGCTTAAATGTGTCTGAGTCTGTTAAAATTGATATTTGCTGATCCCATTTTTCTTATAAATAGGGAAACATAATCCTGTAATGACAAAAGATGCTTCAGAACTACAAAGGAGACTTTGACCAAGGGCCGCCAGGTGCAAACTCTTCTTGGCTGTGTGATATGGAGGGGAATTAGTCTAAATATATGAGCCTGTTTCCTCTTCTTTAAAATGGAAATAATGTACTAATTTGGGGTTCTGTAGGGGATTGGAGATCATTTCTATAAAGTCCTTTGCACAATGCCTAGTACAAAAACATTCTACAACTATTACATTTGTTATTTTTTAAACTGACGACATGTGATGAAAATTGGGAACTCTAAATTCGAAGTAAAGCTATAAAGTTTACAAGAAATAAACACACCAGATATATAGCCAAGAATTAGCTTATTACATTGTGTAAGTCAGCAAACCAGTTCTGCTATTCAAAGTGTCCTACTACAACTTCTTTTTAAGCTCTCCCTGCCTTTCTAGAGATCCCTATCAGCAAATATATCAGTTGGTTTTTCCTTCTCACAACAATCCAAGAAACATCAACCCTCACCGCATAAAAGTGTCCAAATAAAATAAAAAACAACTGTTTGCTTTCTGAACACCCAAAAAGCATTAAAATAAAAAGGACCATTGAGAAAATTAAACTGACAATGACTGCTGCTATCAATTCCTTCAAAATGAAATCATGAGCATAAAAAATCAGCAATATCAACATCAGGAACTAGTGGATTATAACTGGACCTCAGCTGGTGTTCCCAGTGAGCAAGCCATTCTGAGAAAAGAAACAAACACGTCCAACGCTGAAAACCCCAACCTAGAATGTGCAAGTTCAACCACTAGGTGGCATATTAACACCATGAAACCATTAACCAGGTTTTCCTGATTACTGCAGAAAATACCCTGTTCCAGGGAGTTAGTTCTGTGATAGAAAAAACCAAGCCCAGTACCAGATCAGTTATTAAATTCAAACCTTTTGGCATCCTATATGATACAAATACATGTATCCCAAAAGGCATTATGCTAAATTTAAATCTTTCTTTTTTATTATACAAGAAGTCATCTTAAATGGTGTATCTCTTTCATTCTTCCCCGAAATTCACTGAGATTCCAAGTCCTTCCCTTCAGTGTTACCCAGCAAAAGCCCACACATCTCACCTTTCTCCACCCACTGCCTACCCCATGTCATCTTTCACTTCTGACATTCAACAGCCTCCTATTGCTGAACCAGATCCCTTAAGTCTTTGGTAATGACTTAAAGCAGAGAATAAGAAAAACAAGCACATAAAATGTGATCTTACCCCCCACATAAGAAACAAATTTGTATAGGTAAGATTATAAGCAAGTCACAAACAAATATTGAGTTATCACAATAGAAAATTAAAAATAAGCCCAAGAGAGAAAGTTACAGTCTATTTTTTTAGAAAAGTAAAAATTACAAATATAGCAGAACACAAGAAAATATTTAGGTGTAAATTACTGTGAATTTGCTGGATAATGCCTGCCTTTTTAATAAGAACTGAAATGTAAGGAAGGCAGAAAGTTCATCAGGCTTGTCATTTTTTTTTAATCCCAGCACTTAGAACATGGAAGATACATAATAAATATTTTCAAAATTCACAAATACACAGAAGGTGCTCATTAGAGGTTGACTGACACAGGACACTGAGTTAAAGGACAGGCAGAGTTTTCTAAGTGGAGCAGAAGACGGGGCATTCTCCCTAGAAGAATAGCCATATGAAAAGGCTGCAGACGGAAGGTTGTGGCATGTGTCAGAGACGTCTGGGAATTGGTTGGCCTGGCTAGAATGAAGGCGTGTCTGGGAAAAACTAAGAAATAAGGCTGCTTGAGAGACAGATGGTTCAAAAGTAAGGAATGAAGGAGAAAAGACATCGGCCTCATCTCAGCTCCCCCATGTCATTGTGACTTCCAGCAATCTGCCTAAATAATCCATGACTTAGTTTCCTAATATATAAATAAAAAAAAAAAAATTAAACCCCCACCTCATAGGCTAGTCTTGAGTGTTAAACATTTGGGGAAATAATTGGCTTATATGAAGCACTCAAAACTTTTCATTGTTATTTCTGTGTGGTACCCTTAGTTCCTAATACAGTTTCTGGCACATTAAATAATATGTGTTAAATTAATAAATAAATGAGATAGAGATTATAGGCAGCATTAAAGGTAGATAAGTTATAGCCTAATATATTAGGGAATAATACATAATAATCAGCTTCTAAATTATTTCTAAAAGAACCTTGACTTGTACCTATACACCCTTATCAAGATGAAGAAATATCAATAAATTAAGAAATAAGTACCAATATTTCTGGATGTGGACGTAACCTCGTTTTAATTAACATCTAATGTTTAGCACTTTGTATAATTAAGAAAGAGAAAATCTCATTACTTTGCATCATTGGCATATGCTGAATAAACTGACACATAACTGGTTCTAAGAATATGCCTATCAAGTTAATAATTTGAGTAAGTGAGACTGGGAAACAATATATTTTCCTGTGATAGCAAATTAACAGGTCCTAGAAAAGAAATCTCAGAAGACATATTCCTTCCAGATCAAAGTAGTGGTTTAAGAGCAGAGTATGTAGCCAAACTGCGTGGGCAGGCATGTACTGTATACAAATTCCCCACGACTGGGAACTCTGCCTCCACCCAACCAACAGCACCTTGTGTCCTGACACTTGCTACCCACAGTAAGTCAATGACATTTTAAACATCCATCATGAAAACTGCACTGCAGATTTACTTTAGGTGTCAGGCATTGTGATCAGTATGTCTAAAGCATATGACATAAATAAAGCAAGTCACTATTTTTAAGGGGTTTATAATTAAAAGCCAAAAACTAGGAACACCAGTAACAATTATTGTCATTATTATATTAGCTGCTTCAGTCTGCTGAGTGTCTATCACATGCCAAGACCTTCAGTTATATTATTTTACTTAATCCCCATCCTGATCCTACATGGTATGTACCATCACTTCCCTTTACAAAACAGGAAAGCAAAATTTAGAAAGGTTAACCAGCATGTCCAAAGTCAACCGAATACCCAATTTAGTCAGACTCCAACGCCTCTGCAACACCCCCCCCAACCCCCTAATCACATGTCTACCAGTGTAAGTCACTATACGTCGTTTCTGAAGGGAAAAAAAAAATGAAATGCTCCTGTAATTGTAAACGCATTGAGACAAGGTTCAGTGAAAAGGAATTTGGGAGGATCGAGTAAGAGCAGAAACCTGATGCTATGAGAACCCCAGGCCGCTGTCATGACGTGAGCAGAAACAGAGCAGAAACCCGCTAAAGATAAACTGAAATGCAGCTATGGCGAAGCAGGCCAGCTAGGATCTCTTGATAAAATGAGGCAATAGAGGAGGCTGCAGCTGGCTGATACAGCATGGCTTCGTCAAAGCAAAAACTGAGGTCAGAGTGAACTGAAGAGGAAATGCTGCCTTAAGCCACAGTGGTCACAGTTGCAAAGTTGAAAACTGTTGTCTATGAAATTGGCAGAGAAGTGACTTTGCATCGTAAGAGCTTATATTCACAATATCCATTCACTATTTACAAAGAACTCTGATGGTCTATGGCAATAAACATATGCTGTGTTGCTGAAGTGCGAATCAGTGTCCTACTCTATTCAAATGGTGTGGGAGTGAGAGTTAATCACTGAGCCAAATGAACTCTCCTGTATCCTAACCTCAGCAGAGTTTTGTTGCTCTTAAAGTACCATCATTTATAAAGAAGATTTGACTCTGATAAAAATGCGTTTTCTTAAGGTGGAGAAGGAGGGAGTCACTAAGGAAGAGGTAAAATGTCAGCTATTTGGTATTCAGTGAAAACTGAATTTTTTATCTGTTTATTAAATATGCACACACACACAAAGAGGAATTCCTTGAACGTGGGTCTCAATGTTCATGTAATTCAGGAGAAGCCTACCTTCATTTGCATTACCTGTACAAATTTGTCTATGTTAATCTGGGGCATTTGCAAAGGTGTTTGGGTGTAATCCCCATGAACCTTCAGGGGTACAAGATACGGACATGTACAGGTAAGGTTTCCATTTACTGAACAGCTTCTCTGATCATGCATCACCCAATTAAACATTCACTATTACAATTATTATAGGTCCCACCACGCCTGAGGCTCGAAAAGTTTAAGCAGCTTATTCAAAGTCACATGAGTGGCCCCCGTATGGGATTTAAAGATGATATAAAGCCCATGACCTTGTCTATACATGCTGTGACAGAAACAGTAGTAGAACAATTAAAAACTGCTTAATTCTCCGAACTGAAGGACTTGGAGATATAGAAAGGATTGTCCTTCATGGCTAATGCTTTATTGTTAAATTTATAAAATATTTCCCCAGGTCAAAGTTATAAAGATACTCCCCTGTGTTGTATTCTAGGAACTTTGTTTACTTTTATACTCCCATCTACCGTCTATCTGGAATTGGCTTTGTTGATAATGTGAAAGGTGTCAATTTAATTAATATTTTTCCTTGTGAATAATCATCTGATCACTTTTTCCTTATAGCTAGCTGCAAATTTATTCAAAGATGATTTTATTTAGTGCACTGTCTGTCCTTGGACAGTCATGTTTCCTTAATTACATAATTTGGAAACTTTACCTTTGGAAAAGGTAAATATAATTTGGAAATTTTACCTTTCTTTCTATTTGGTAAAATAAATCTTCTAACTTTGCTTTCCTTCTTCGAGTTGAGTTAGGCTGCTTTGGTCCTTTCCACTTTCATATTATTTTTAATGAATTTATCAATCTTCTTACAAAAACCTGATGGTATTGTTACTAAAAGTGCAAGGGAAATGGGGACCCGCTGGTTAGTGGGTACAGAGTTTCAGTTTGGGAAGATGTAAAACATTCTGGAGGTAGATAGTGGGGATGACTGCACGCGGATGCAGTGTACTTAATGCCACTAAACTGTACACTTAAACATGGCCAAAATGGTAAATTTTATGTTTTATATATGTTATCACAATAAAAAGTGAACACAGATTTTTAAAACTGCTAAATTAATGGCTTCTGAAGAATCAACATTTGATGAGGTGTGTAAGTTGGGACAGTTCTGGGATTCGGTCTATTTTTGTTCAGGCTTTAACTTTTACATCTATGTGTCAAACAAACTACTTTGAAGAATGTTTGTAAAATATATAAATAGAACCATTTAACAGACTTTATATAAACTACAACAGCAAGACAAATACAGTTGGTTAAGATATACTCATATATATCTACTCCCAAGTCCAATACGGTATTTGTATATTCCTACAATCTATTTTTTTCCATTTGAGAAAGACTTATCACATTTAATATATTTCATCCCCAGGAATGTGTAGTTTTGAGTTTATTGGCTCATACTGCAAAAATAGGATGACTGTGATATTAACTCTTACCTCTCTTTTAGTTGCATAAGGTTTTATAAAATGCAACTAGAATTTCTGTTCACTCCCTAAAATCACAAATTAATCATTTTTCTCTTAACCTTTCAATTTTTGCCATCACCACAGAGATAATGCATCATGTGGATTTCAGATGTCCACTGCTTGAAACATTTTTTCTAAAAAGGAAACAAATCTATGGAGAAAATGACATATGCTATATATTTTGATACACCTGTTTTGTATGAATTATCATCTATTCGTAAATGAAGACTGGAAAAAAAAAAGAATTTTAGAGTTGTAAGAACAAAGCTTATGGGAAAAAATGTCACAATTGCAAAAAGTAAAGATATTGATTAACAAGTATATTATGGTATAACTGTGATTATTCACACAATTGATCATTACTAGCCTCAGGACAAACAAGCAAGCAAACTAGATGTGTGGAGTTCCATTAGCTCACAAAACCTAACTAAAGCCCATGTAAGCAGAACACTCATTCACATATTCTGAGTTCCTTTGTGCCATTCACACAGTCACCAAAAAGACTGGTAAATCAGGCATGATGCCTTTCCTTCTCCATTTAATTTCTTTCTTTTTGTTTTCTGTTTTTCTAATGCACAAAATCCAATTAGGCTAATGAATTTAAGCTTTCACAATGATAATCATTTGTCAGACACTGTGATTTGGAACCACAAGCCAATGATTTCAGTTACAGAATAGCGTTCCTAAATGGTAAGTTAAAAATGAAAGGATTTCACCTAGACACAGAATCTTAGCAGAAGATATGCTAGTGATAGGAAAGATTGATACTGAAGACCGTGACTTTTTCTAAAACAAAGTATACTTGACATCCCAAGGGCTAAAAATAGGGGAGGCTGTTCCCTTTTGTGATCCTGCCATAAATGTATTTGTTAAAATTCATGTCATATATTTGCAGATTAACTATATTTTTGATTACATTCATTTTCATACTCATATTTCCTTTTTGTCACTTTTCTTCCTTATTTTATCATAAATAGATACTTTGGGAAAGGAACCGATTATTAACTAATCATTCAATAAAATAATAAGCATAGAATAAGCTTCCTTATTTGTCAGATTTGTAGGGTTCTTCTGGAGATTAGCAAAATAATTCATGAAAAGTAAAGTGGCACATTTTGGGTAATGTCATTCATAACACTTTTAAAAATGTGTGATTAAAAACAGGCACTGGCGTATTTATGTGGTATAGAAGTCATTTGAAATAGCGGCCACAGGAGATACTTACATCAATGTTGTTCAGAGTATTGAAGTACATGAGATCATGTAGTCTTTTGAATGCTTGATTTGGATATTGAAAATTGAAGGTTGAAAATGGTGATTCTGGGTCATCAAAAATATCAAAGTCAGCAATGTCTTTCTCTTCCTCAGTTTCCCTTGGAACACCTAAATACCGGAAGAGTCACAAAGGGTGTTATTTTGAAAACTACAAAATATCTTTAAAACCTGAGGAATGAAACATACAGACACAAAGACAGCAGTGGGAGCCCTGCAGAGCCAGGTACTCTACTATCTCTGGACTTATCATTTCTGTGTGTTCTGACCGGGTGACATCCAGCTGCCGTATCTGCCATCTCTGTGCCTGAGGGCTTTCTCTTCTGCCCTGCAACTCTAGGAGTCTGCTTGGCCTACTGGCAGCAGGCTGGAAATTCTGACAACACTGTATCCCAGGCAGTGGTCAGCCAAAGACTCTAGGGAGTTAGCATCTGAATGCTCCATTCCCCTGCCCGTTGGTGTGTGTGTGGGAAGCATGACTGCGGGACACGGGCCTGTTCCATTTCTTAATCTTTCCCAGCGGGTCAAGTTCCCATTGTGGCAGCTGGCTTGCTAACGCAGTTTTGATGTCTGCCTTCCTTCCCTTGACCACTTCCCCATTTCCTTACTAATAAACTAGCATGTTCCCCAGCTCCCCCAAATAAACTATTTGCACTTGAGTCCTTTTCTCAGAATCAGTTTCTGGGAGAACCCAAAGCAAAACATTATGTGACTGTCTTCATGCCATGGAAATCCCCTACACATGCCAACTGCTCAGTGAGCCTCTCCTTGAGAATTGACAGTCATAGGAAATTCACTGGGTTTCAAGTGTTCTACTGTCTGATAACTAAAAATGTCAGCGATTTCCACCTTCTCCTGTGCTGAACTACATGCTTCACAATAATCTTCACGCCTATCGATTCTTTCTGAGAAATTCAGAAAACACCATTTTCTTCAGCATATTCCCATTACTCATCCTATTTTTTTTTCTGTCTTTCCATTCACAAAATGGAAAATACATTTTCTGGTCCTAAAATATGGTTTTTAGAGCTTTAAGCATCCTGCATGTCAATCTTCAGATCTCCTTTGTTTAATCAACATTTTCCAGGATACATAGGAGTCAAGAGAATCCTCTAGATATAGTAAACAAAACAAACAAAAAAAGGCTACATCTCAAACTTGATTCTTGTTTTCTATGAAGCACAACATGACACACTGAAATTGCTAGCCATGGTGCACTGCTAGATTATGTTAACCTTGTGGTCAACTAAAATTCCCAGAAATTTGCATAATTTTTCTGAAATAAGAGCTTTCTTATAAGGGTGACAGTCAAAATATTTGATTAAAAATCAATCAGAACAAACATAACTCAAAGTATTGAAATAAAGTCCCAGAGATTTTTGTTAAACTAGACGTTGACTTTTTAGTTTCTGGACTGTGAGCAACTCAGGGGATCTTGGGGTAAGAAAGAGGGGAAGTACTTGAGGTCCCAGATAGTATCTACTTACCAAGGTAAGGCAGGCATTCAATAGTGTACTAGCCGGTACGGCAGTGCCAGAGTGAAACAGTTTAATATCAGTTTTGCTCCCCTACTTAATTTCTATTTTATGGAATACAACTTACTCCCAACATACCTGGAGCCTTGTACTTTCTGAAGTTGATGTTGGCCAGAACAAAGTGGATGATCGTTGGACAATCTTTCTCCATGTCAGGATTCTTGGGTTTAAAGACATAGCACTCCTTTAGCCCTTCCCGATCAAACACATAAGGATCGATCTTCGGAAAAGGGAGCTTGTTCATTTTAGCCCACTTTTCTGCAAGTAGAAGTTCCTATAGGAAAGAGAGAAAGATGCATTTGGAAATTTTCCATTTTCATTGATTCAGTTGGTCTGACCGTTATTCAGTATTAACTAGCTGTCTACTATGCGCCAGCAATGTGCTCCTTGCTAGGATGAATCAAGACCCTATTCTCAAGAAGCTCATCAATCTCAAAGAAATAGAAAACAAACTCAGTATTGTTACGTTAATTCTTGGCACAAGGCTAGCTCCACAGCAGGCATTTGATAAATTTTTGATGAACTGAACTGAGCAAAATTTATGTTGAAGAAGCTGCTGGAGAAAAAAAAAACATTATGGGTTCAGAGAATTTATAACCATGGGAATGTTTTTTGATCCCTCAGGAGTGAAAAAGGAACCTGTTGATGCAGAATAAATAATCCTCTGTTACTGGATTTTTACCTGTATCATCTCCACCAAAGTGTTAAAAAGTACCAGTCAAAACGTCATTCATTTTATGTACACAAAAATATTTGAATGACTCTGAATCAGCTTTTTGCCTTCTTTTTATGAAAAGAAGTTGAACCTCTGGCCTGAGTGTTGCTATTACATGTAATGGCAAGAGAGGACTGTACAGCCGTACCAAGAGTTTAATGGTTGTGGCAAATTGTATGATGGTTTCCGCATATTAGCTCCGTTCCTGGTAAAAGGATTATACAGTCCCACCAGATTGAGAAGACACATAGAACGGAGTCTCCACAGGCGATTTACGACGGCTGGCATGTAACTGGCTCAGAAATACATGCTCGTGGTCAGCCACTGAGATTTGAGGTTGGTCTGTCTCTGCACCAAAGCAGGCTAACTCAGTGGGTTAGCACCTCCAAAATTAAATTTAAACTGGAGAACATAAATCAATATGGAGAGATGCAGTGAAGAAACCTCATTTCCATTTATGTGCATCCTCAGGGGGAATGGAATGAATAAGAAGCAGAATATCATAGTGGTAAAAGCACAGACTCTGGGACCTGATGCCTGAGTCCGAATGCAAGCTCCATGGCCTTGGGCATGTTTCTTAACTCAGTGTCTCCATACTCAGATATAAAATGTGATGATAAAAATCATACCTGTCTCATAGCATTGCTATTAGAATTAAATAATACTTTGCAGTGCTTAAAACAGTGCTTACCATATACTATGTGCTATGCAAATGTTTAATAAATAAATGCCAATAAAGAGAAGAAAAGAGATGGAAGGAAAAAAGTAAGGAAAACAGAAGAGGAAGAAGAATGGGAAGAGAAATTGGAACATTAGAGAGGAAAATTCCTAGAGAGACGAAGTTTGGGGGGCACTGTCACTAGAATCTTAACTTGTTTTTAATTGCATTGATCCGTTCAACAACAATCACTAGTGGCCGGTCTAGGTTCCATGTTAGAAAAGGGGACATAACAGTGAGTAAAACATTCATGGTTCTTGTTGTTAGATGTATGGCCTTTTGGGTGAGAGACAGCAATCAAATAACGCTTTGTGTTTAAAACTGCGATAAATGCCAGGAAAAAAATCCAACTTGAGACTCCGCGGTACACCTGGACTAATTCCTCAGAATATCTGTTAATTCATCCAGCAGTTATTAGTGAGCACCTGCTATGTTCTAAGCATTAGAGACGGGCTGTCCTTGAAGGCTTGGAGTTTTTAAGTCAACAGGAAAGATAAATAGATATTATAGGAAACAGCAGGAAGGTGCTGCATGATTGTGGGCCTGGGTTGTGCCGTGTGAAAGGCTCAGCTCCGAGACAGACATCCTAACCCTTGCTAGCTGGATGACCTGAGACAAACTAATGAAACATCACAGCTCACCAAGAAACAAATTATCTTTGGTGGCTGCGGTGTACAGTGATAGTCCCCCACAGGCAATGCAGAGATACTGAGGAACGAACAAACACAGACCAGATTATTCACTATCCCTGACATAGCAGCCTCCCGATCCCATCTCATCACTCTTTCACCTGTTCCTTATTTATCAGCAAATCATTTTCTACCTCTGTAAAATAAAGCTAATACTATCGCGTTTCTCACAGGATGGCTGAGAGGATCACATGATAAAATGTATGAAGACCTCCGTAGTTTACATTAGAAGAAAACAAGTACTTTAACATAGGGCCTTCCATTCAGAGAAATATATACTTTTCCTTGAACTTTCACTGCCATTTTTGCTTCCGGAATGCCAGTGAATTTTATGGTAATAAATTCTCTCTCAATACCATTATGAATAAAAATCTAGGAGAACGAAGGATGGAATGTATATGAGGGCATTTGCTTCGTAAACTATTATTCTAAATACAATGAACATTTCACTGAAAATCCCATATGGCTATAAATAATATTTTGTTTGAAACTTGAGAAAGCTTTTATCACCAATCTCTTCTTTTTTTTCCTCTATTCAGCTGAATTAATCAGCTTGTTATTTCTTGTCTAGCACTGTTCACAATTGTTCATTCATGATTATTCAACATCAAAATAAAAGCAAAAGTTCACAGTGTGGAGCAATTGCGTGAGGGCAAGGAAAAGAAAGAGCCTTCTGGTGTTTACAAACATGACTCAAGGGTATGACCAATGATGTGTGGATGCTGGGGAAAGAGGAAAAGGGAAATACGTGCGGTAAGAGTGAGGCTATTTTTAGACAGATCACTTCATGATAGAATTAGGAAGAGATGGAAACTTTCCCTTTCCTTATGTGACCCTGATGTGGTAAAGATTAAAAACGGATGATGGCAAGGACAGTGATTACAGAATGGATAAAGCATTTCCTCTCCGGTGCCTCGTTTCTTTCTGCAAAGACCAAGAAACAATGACACAGACTATGAGTAAAGTGCATTAGATTTTAGAAAGCATTTTAAAAGATTTCCGTGAACAAAAAAATTGCTGCTCCACGAATTACGGAACTAAGCCAGAACTATGTTCTGTGATAACTATCCATTTTGGTTATTGTTTGACATGTCAGATACTTCACATTTCCATAGACTAATTTACGATAAACTTACATACTAACTACAATGACTTTCTGTGGGATAAAAATTTGACAGTATCCTTCAAAGAGATACTTTTTAAGATGTCTGTGCTCCTTTTGGTGTGTTGGGGTTTTTTTGTTTGTTTGTTTGAGACAGAGTCTCACTCTGCTGCCCAGGCTGGAGTGCAGTGGCCCAATCTTGGCTCACTGTAACCTCCGCCTCCCATGTTCAAGTGATTCTCATGCCTCACCCTCCTGAGTAGCTGGGATTAAAGATGCCTGCCACCACACCTGGCTAATTTTTGTATTTTTAGGAGAGACGGGGTTTCACCATGTTGGCCAGGCTGGATGTGCTAATTTAAAACATCACTAAGAAACTTTAAGGAGAGACAAATAAATAACAAATAAATGAATATTATAAGTAAATGTTATTTCTAAATAACAGAAATATATACAAAACATAGTATGATAGCATTTATATGACATTTATTTATATACAAAAATATGTACAAACAACACATTTATTTATAAAAATACAAACACAGGCCGGGTGCAGTGGCTCATACCTATAATCCCAGCACTTTGGGAGGCCAAGGCGGGTGGATCACAAGGTCAGGAGATGGAGACCATCCTGGCTAACATGGTGAAACATGTTAGCTACTAAAAATACAAAAAAATTAGCTGGGCCTGGTGGCACGTGCCTGTAATCCCAGCTACTCAGGAGGCTGAGGCAGGAGAATTGCTTGAACCCAGGAGGTGGAGGATGCAGTTGCACCACTGCACTCCAACGTGGGCGACAGTGCGAGACTGTCTCAAACACACACACACACACATATACACACACACATATAAACATAAAAAATAAATTGTCTTGCCATTAGAGGAAGTCAGATTTCTTTTGTCTCTATGCAAACCAAGAATACGTGCTTTCTATTTTACAATGTTTCTCATTATATAAAACCTATTTTTAAGATTAGGGAGACGGATGGCATATAAGCATGTAAGTAAACCTCCAGAATCTTAAAAAATTATTGAAGCAAGTAATATAAAATACAACAGATGGAAACTACAAGTTAGAATTAATTATTCTTCAGTTATAGTCACTCTTTTAATAAAAGACATGCTGGTATTAGGCTCTAAGAGCTTTATAATGCAATAAGCATGAAAATAATTTTCCATATCTCATGTTGTATAGAGTTTACATAGCACTTTGTAATTCTTGTTAGTTATTCACAAGGAGGTTACCATAAACTCAGAAAATATGTAAAGGGAAATTAATGTCAGTTAACATAATATCTACTCAGCACAAGACATCTGATTCTCAATACGCGTGACCAGTCTGAGGGTAGTGGGTTGAATGGTGGCTCCCCATAAAACAACCCATTCCCTAACCCCTTAGTCCTGTGAATATGACATTATTTGGGGAAAGACTCTTTGCAAATGTAATTTAATTAAGGATTTTGAGATTAGATCATCTTGGATTATGTAGGTGGGCCCTAAATTCAATGACAATTACATGAGATACAAGAGAAGACATGCACACAAAAGAAAAGGCCATACAAAAATGAAGGCAGAGATTGGAGAGAAGAAACCGCCGGGCAAGCGATGCCTGGAACCACCAAACGCTGGAGGAGGCAGGAAGGGTTCTACTGTGAAGGCTTCAGAGAGGCAGTAGAGCTGCCGCTGCCGTCATTTCAACTTGTGCCCTCCGGAACTGCGAGAGGATATATTTTTGTTGTTGTAAGTTACCATGTCTGGGGGCATTTGTTACAGAAGCTCCAGCAAGCTAGTAGGAGAGGTAAAACTGGAAGAACTACATTAAATGCTGTGCTCTTTTCTTCACTAGACATTGTGGACTGGTGCCCCAAAGCCAACACTTGGACCAATTTGGCCATGATGTGGGACCACCTTAAGCATTATAAGTGAATAATATGTGGAGATTCTGAAAGAGGTCATGCCCCCGTTTCAATAAATAAATCAGGTGATTGTGGAAAAAATACAGATTCTTTTTCCTCATTAGTGGGTTTAAATGGAATTCTGACCCTAAATG